AGCACTATTGTTATACTGTTAGAGAATCATCCACCTGCAAGAGAAACCGTCAGCAGGCCCATTTTTTCCTTATCAATTTCTCACTTCCTTCCCTCATGAGTCGCCTTTCTCTTTGATTTTCCTCCAACGAGTTGTAACTATGCTTATGTAACAGAAAGCAGCCCCACAGGAAGGGATTAACCCCTTTATCCCCAAACTGTCAAACCTAATCACACAAACCTCACTCACATTGTAAGTGTTCAAGTACCTGTGAGTCCATACTAATCCACGTTTAATCCGCACACACACATTTTTGCTTCTTTTCGGCTTCATGAATTTACCTTTACTGTGCTTTCACGTCGCATTCATGCACCACAGTAAAGAACAAGCAGGTAAACCAATTATGAGACTTGCAGTAAACAAGTTAACATTTGTTACGTCACCACGACAAGGCAGGCGCTCTACTCAGTAGCTTATTTGTTTTATATTTTGATGTTTCTCTTGTATCGGTTGACACGTTGCCTCTGTCTCAGGTATACGGGGAATACAGAGCCAGCCTCGCCTTTGACCTAGTCAGCAGTCGGCAGAAAAATGTGAGTGAAGCGGCTCAAATCACAGTAATTTAGGAAAATACAAATAAAAGGACAAGGTGCTGTTTGTGTTTTCTCTAATGAAAGACAACATTTTCTTCTGTATGACACTACATATCATCTTATTTCCTCTTTTTTTATTATATATACTAGTCCAAAAACAAAAGGCAGGTTAGCGTTTTGAATAGATTTCATAAACCCTCACTATAATACAAGGTATGGCCTGGACTGCATATTCAGTGCCTGAGTAAGGTGAGGGATGTCTCTCCATTCCTGAGTGCAGGCTGCAGCTGTGCACTGCTTACTTGTTGCGGCTGCCTCTCATGAATTTCAACACAGCATGTCCCCGGCATGCTCAGTAGGAGACCTTTTGGGACTAAATCCTGACTGGCGCCAGGACATGCTCCTGATCTACTGGCCACTGTGTGCCGGTAACAGCTGTAGGGTGGGTTGCTGCCGCAAGAATGGCACCGGTGCAGGTTGGGGCGCCTCATCTTGGTACCTCTGTCCGGTCACATTTCCACCACACTCAGAAGAGCTCAGACATGCGTGCCAGCATCCACCATTGCCAGTAGCCCTGCCTCATACACCTTGATTCAGTTGCAGCATGATACACTGATGACGGTGTTGTGCATATGTCCTTTTCTGTTATTGCTATTCACCTCTGATCATAACATCTGATAATTATTGATTCTGATCCATCAGTCGGTGAGTAACGTTTAAACAGTGAATGAGGAACGTGTTGAAAGCACATCCAGCAGTTTTTCCTGATTTTTAGCTTATGATTTCATTAAAAGAATGGACTGAGTTATCCATGAGTAAAACTGTGCTGCTTGTTGATGTTTTACATAACAATGTGTTAACTGTGTCTCCAGGCGTACACAGACTACAGTGACTCAGTATCCAGGAGAATGGGCTTCATCCCGCTTCCTTTAGCGCTGCTGGTCAGTCGTTCTTTCACAGGATGGCTTTTGATATTGAGATGTTTGCTCCCACGTTTGCTTGCTTATAAATGTGACGATGTTTTTTTCAGCTGATCAGAGTGGTGACCAGCTCAGTGAAGATCCAGGGGTCGCTCTCGTTTATGTGTGTGCTGCTGTTTTACTTGGGGTAATTGGCCAACATGTCTTCATCATTTTTGATTATTTTCTTGACACTGTTTGTTTTCATGTTCACGTGACTTTTGCCTGTCTGTGTGAGCAGGATGATCACTCTGAAGGTTCTCAACAGTATCGTTCTCCTGGGAACTTCCTGTGTGTTTGTCAAAGAGGCCAATATGGAGGAAAAGCTCTTTAACCCTCCGCCTTCTGTCGCCTCCAGCCGTGCAAACTCTAGAGCTCACCGGACAAAACATGTTCACGTTTCACCGCAGCAAGGTAGCTCAGTCACTCTGTCTCACTGTCTCTTTTCCTGAGTTTAATTGCTGCTAAAAACTCTTAACTTGCTTTATAACAGAATCCACAGCTGACAAAGGAGAAACTTCTCTGCCGTCAGACATCTGTCAGCCCACCAACACAGCAGAAAACGCTGCCCCCTCCTTCCCGAAGAGTGACTCAGACACATTCCTGACGACTCCTGACGAGGAGGACGATGACAAAATCATCAACGCTGACACGGGACTGGAAGGAGGCGGACTTGCACACCGACCACCAAAGAAAGACCTGCTGGAGATAGATCGCTTCACCATCTGTGGCAACCGAATAGACTGAAGGACCAGTGTAGCAATCCTGGCAACACTACAGGGTTCAGGGATCAGACATGGGTCATGGAGCATGCTCAGACCGTACTTACTTTTGTGCACCTGACCCCTCAAGTATTTATTTATTTATTGACTGACAAAACCAGCAAAGGCATAAAGCTGTTACTACAAGCATCCGAGGTGGCATCAGACGTTTCCAGCTGGTCCTGCGTGTGTCTGATGAGCCAAGCGGGCTCTGGCACTGGGTCAGAGGCCTGGCGGTGACACACTCGCTGATGAAGACAGCATGTAAAACACGGGAGGAGCAGACTACAGAGAGAAATCTGCGTATGTCAAATCACGTGTGTTCAGAAGCACAATCAGTAAGAAGCTGTTTTTAGAAAGAACAAAAGTTTTTACTAGTTTTTTTTAATTATTCCAAAAAAAAAAGGCTGATGATATTTGAAATGAAGTTTTTATGACAGGTTTCAAATCTTTTTTCTAAATTGAATCACAATCACATGGAAGGATTCAAATCATGAAGTTATTCTGCAGACAGAAGCTCTAACACACACACACACACAGAGGTTGATCTGAGGTGATGAGGTGAGCTGCAGTCCCAGCAGGTTAAATATGGCAGCAGTGACACTAAGAATGGCTTTGCTTGGCTGCATCAGCTTCAGTTGTAATGTTTGGTTTGGTAACTTAAGAGATATAAAAAGTTGGAAGGCTTAATGTCATTTGTGTTGGTATTACCTTAAAGCACTGAGATGATGGTGCAGATTTGTATTTATTTTGAGATGGCCTACCAGGCCTGACAGGTGTGACTTATTTATGTGCTTAATTTGTACCTTTTTCATTGAAGCATGTGGCCTACAGATAATAGTGGCGACACATCACAGCCATATAACATTTTCTTCTGTTTGCTTTTTGATGTTGGAAACTGATCTGACATGTTTTCTCATTCCTCGCTATCTGAGTGAGAGTGGATGTGAAAATCACATGAAATGCTTCATTGTATGCTGATTTCTTCATAATCCAGGCCAAAACTAGCTTGTCAATGAACAAAGTGCAGGTTTTCTGTGTTGAAGCTAGTTTATATCTTTTTATGCAAAACGATGGATTAAGATTTTTCTGGGGAAGGAAGTAAAGAGTTATTACAAGGATGGGTTCTGGCTGCGTGGAAAGAGAATTGCAACTTGGACTTGCTACATCTTTGACTCAAAGGTCTGAGCAGGAGGAACGCAGGACTAAAAACTGATCAGGCACAGTTCGGTCCTTAATTTGCTGGACAGTGACACAGTTTTTGTAGTTTGAGTGGATTTAAATCAAACAGTGAAGATGTGACTGAAGTGCAGACTTCAAACCTCAGTTCAAGGGGATTTACAAAAATGATCCATTAACCGTTTGGGAATTAGAGACATTTTTATGCAATACTTATACAAATTATAGACCCAACTGTTGAACAAGATTTTTTATCTTAACTGAGACCAGTGAGGGTCCATGAGGGGCACAGCCAGGGGCCAAGTCCAGTCTCACTACAGGATCATGGTTCGTACAGTGGAAAAAAATAGCTGTATACTGCTGGAAGGAGGAGTGTGAATGCAGCATTAGTGTGTGTGTGTGTCATATGTGAGGTATTTTTCAGCATGTGGATGGATCTCTACCTAAAAACGGACAGTGTATGAGTTTTTTTTTTTTCTCTTCCATGTACAGCTCATTCGTGTAATGTATCTCCTTACGTGGTAGAAGGAGAATAAAACAAGACTGTTTTGTAAGTTTCTGGTGTGATTTTGTGTGTGCGCGCATGCTTTTCAGTGAAAGGAGTCGATGCCCTCCCTGTTAACCAGGCAAACACTGCAGCCCACTGTTCCCCTTGAATGGACATTTAGAGGGGGTGTATGTCATCACACACAGGGGTAGGGTGGGGGCTTTTTGCCAAAGGTCCAGCTCACATAAATGGTCTGGCTACACGACATCCCTGATTGTGTCGACATATTTCAGGTTTTTCCACATTTAACCCATCCGGTGCCACATAAAAGCTGCATGTGAGATGAGAGAGGACGAAAGAGAGCACTTACTCATGAAGCCATCAAAGCGGTTTTTAAAGGCTTAACCAGACTATACTGTTTCCATTAAACTCAATGCTTTGTTTCCACACTTTCTTGCCAAGTCAAACCTTGCATCTTTTGCCAGATGTTCCCGTTGCTGAACTATCTAACAGACAACTGCTAAGTGTCCAGACTCACTTTTACTCACAGAGGCCCAAGGTGTAGCCAAGTCAAACAGTATTTAAAACAAGATTATTCTGAACTTCTGAATCATGCAAAGCTACTTTAGCAGGCTCAGACTAAATGTATCAAGCTTGAAACACGTTCATACACAAAAATATCTCCCCATGAACCAAACCCTTCAAAATGATGATTGTTGGATCAACTGCAGGGTCAAAAAGCTCAAAATTTATACCAGTTGCGTTATTGGCTCAGATGTTGGAAGCAGAATTTTAATTCCTGAGAGAAAAAGAACACAAACCAAAGCCAAATAGTAAGACAGTATGAATAGCAGAGGCAAGATTTATGATTTTTTTTTAAAAAACATTTTTGGTTTTTATTCACTCATTTTGTTATTTTTAGTTAACAAAAATCTCCACACCTCGTTATATTTTACTGTATTGACTCTGTCCTGGACAAACAAACAGCCTGCTTAAATCCACCTTTTGGTTTCCTGTTGTGAAGTCAGCGGGCGTGCTCAGCTGACCCTCTCTGAACCTCTGCTTGAACAGTACACCTGGGGATGAGAGAGAGAGAGAGGGTGACAGGTGGCTGGTCAGAGCGGTGTCGCGCGCCACAGATGCTCCCGACCAGCTTTCAAACGCGCGCGAGCGTGCTCGAGCCTTTTACGTGCACGCGAGATTAGGCTGCTCGCAGGACGAAGCCGGTGAGAATGTGTGAGCGCTCGTCTTCGGCCGCCGGAGCCCCGGGAAGATGTCGGTGATGACTCCGTACCGGGAAACCCGTAGCTAACGGCTGCTACTCCTGCGACCATTGGATGTTGTTTTTAAAACTTTTCCTTAGGACGGTTGTTTTTGCGGTGTGGGGATAAAAAAAACACCACCCGGAGGGACAGGTGTCACCCCCCTTCTCACTCCAGTTTTGTGTTTCCTTTCCCCCTCATACTTTTTTTTTTTTTTTTGGAAACCGAGTAGGACCTTGGGGAGCCATGCTGTGGACACGCTGGCTCGTGCTGCTGCTCTGCTGGGGGGCCACAGGCAGCGAAGAGCAGGCGGATGAGAGGGGCGCGGTACCGGCTGAGGTCCGGTCGGACTCCCGCAGAGAGCGCTCACCTCCGCCGGTGGAGCCGCTGGATTTTGGGTTTGTACCCGCGGCGGTTTACGACACCCACGCTTATTACGAGCCAGGGAGCATGGGGATCCTCTTCCATATGGTCCACGCGTTTCTCTACATCATTCAGCCGAACCCCTTTCCCAAAGGTGAGATTACCGACACCTCCCCACCCGTGTTTCCTATTCCCAGGACGTTGTCTTTACGGTGCACCACCGTGGCCTAGTTCAACTTCAACGTTAGTGCGGCTCGAACAGGTGCGACCAATCACATTTAATTAGGCTACCTGAGGAGAAAGTTCAGCAAGTATTTTTAGCACCCGGTTTATAATCTGTTATTTACAGCAGCAGAACTCGTTATGACCACAAACTTGACTCAACCTTACTTGTCATCCAGATGCTGCTGTACAGATGCTCAGTATACATATGTTTATGCATATCTGTCTATATATGAAATACAAGTCCACAGTCCATTTATGTAAGAAGTGCATTACTTGTCAGTGTAATCACAGTCACAATCACAGGACATGAGACAGAGAGATACTTTATTGTGTGCAATAAGTGTGCAATTGTGGTGGAAAAGTGTACAATTGAGAATGTGTGTATGCAGGGTTTCTCTTGGCTGAAAGCAGGCTTTCAGGGATGAAACTCTATTAGTCTGCATATGAATAAGCTAATTCGTTTGCATAACCTTAATAGATGTCTATGGATTTTTCTCGTATTTTTATCCATTTGAAAATCAAAAAAAATGTTTTCTGATTGGGTAAATTCAATCACATTTAAAAAAAACTAATTATAAATAGATACAGCTATATTAAACATATTTTTACATGAAAGAAAAATATTGATATGCATTTCAATATTAAAGCAAGTAAGTAAAAAAGAAAAAAAGTGGACCATTGTTTTTCCATTTAAAGGTCTGGGTCCACACAAGCTATAATTAATGTGAGAATCTAAAAATATATATATCCTGATTAAACAAAGACATTTATTTTTAGACTTTGATTCTCCTCACTGCCCACGTTGATGCCATGATTTGTTTTAAGGCATTGAACGTCAGGCAGCTCACAAATCACTCACTTGGCTTAGAGGTCGGGGACCTGACTGGACTGTTGTACGTCATAAACCAAATGGCAAAGTCCAAATAAACAGTAATAACCTCAACAAGGCTGCTGTGGCGCGAGTTATTTGTGCTGTGCTGCTGTGTCTGTAACCCTAAACCCAGAGGTAAACCTGTGCCATGTCATCGTTATCTAATTTTAACACTGCTGCCACCCCCCCCCAAAAAAAAAAAAAAATTAAAATCCCTCAAACTCAAAGAGCACAAAGGGGGTGGTATGCTGTGATGATATGCAATTGTTGAGCAGCTTAAAGGGATCCGTAGCTGTCATAAGTCATGAATGATCTCCTGCAAGCCCATGCTCCAGGTGATTCATAGGTGATCACAGGATCAATAAAAACAATGTATGTTGCTCTGTTGTCTTTGTGATGAAGGCCAGTAAGTAATCCAGTGATCACATCCCATCAAAAACAGTTTGTTTATGTGTTGTATGTGCAACTATGGGTGGTCACGTTGGTTGATGACACACAGCAATTGGATTGAAGGTTTTAAGTTGCTGCCATTTCGGTGTCCAGGGTTAGGGCCGCTGGCTGGCTAATCAATTAGCAGATCTGCGATTAAGGGAAGCTTTCCCAGTCACCTGCATCACAGCATAATACCTTAATCCGCTGCACCATATGCTGCTATTCCATTCCAGTATGACTCACTATCACACACACAGGTAGCCCACCTGGATGCCACATCATCTCCCTGTACGTATATGTATAAATGCTTTACACGACCTGAGCCTGGTAGACAGTGGCAGGTGCATGTGTTCATTTGTGGTGAATGCAACACTGTCAAGCAAAACTGTTATGAACATTAAATCAGAAGAAGGTGCCATATATATGTTTTGTTCATTTGCTTCTAAAGCTTCCAATTTCAAGCTTACAGTAGGGGAAAAATTATTGAACACGTAAATATATTTCTAAAGGAAATTCTCACAAGATGTCTGTAACAACCCATCCAGCCCACACATGCAATGAAATCAAACCATAGATGTACATAAATTATGTGTAATAATGAGAAATGACAGAGAAAAGGACATGGAAAGTCATGACACCAGCTGAAATTTGTCAGTACTTACATAAATGATATTGATTGGCCACCTGGTTCAATCCTATCTGAAGTGCCATAAAAAGCTGTCTCATTACTAAGGTATCATACAAGAAATATGTCATTATGGGTAAAACTAATGAGCTCTCTCCGTGAGCACTGTTGGGGCCGTAATCAGGAAGTGAAAAGAACATAATTTCACTATGAAATTGCCATGACCAGCTACTCCCTGCAAGATTTGGGACAGAAGAGTGAAAACAAATATCAGAAGAGTTGTCTATGAGCCAAGGACCACTTGTGGAGAGCTACAAAAAGACCTGGAATCAGCAGTAGGGCTGCTCGATTATGGCAAAAATGATAATCACGATTATTTTCACTGAAATTGAGATCACGATTATTTGACGATATTTATTTAACCCTTTAAGACCTACTATAGAACCAAGTCCACCAGAGCTTATATTATTTATTTTTTTACATGCTGTAGTGCCATTTGTGGGAGCATTTCAAGTTGCTATACATCAATACAACTGTTATAGCCCATATTTTAATAATATGTATGCATTAAGTGCATAGTAATTACATAAAATTCAAAAAAGTGCAATAAACTACAAAAAAAATTGAAAATCGCTTTTGTTTTGTTTACATATATTTCTACTTGGAGAAGTTTAAGAGGTTTATCCCTCAAAACTTTAAATACAATAAAGTTGCAAAAAATAGTTTCCCACCACAGGAAATTTATTTTGAGTGTCTTCATAGTTTTATTTTGGAGATACAGCAATTTTTATATACTGCAGGAAAAACAAAAAACAATCATATGATGCAAATTTGCAAAGAAAACAGCATGTGCATCATTTCACTGTGGGAAGTGTTACGAACAGCTGATAGGAACGGCGAAGCATGTTTCTGGAATATTATGTTTTTGTTCATGCAAGCACTTTTTATGCAATTTTTGCAAAGCTATATGTGAAACGAAACCGTGACCGAGGACAAGCTGATGGCATCAGATGTAAGTACAACTCCTCCGGTTTCATATGCAAAACAAATTATTGCGCTAGCTTACACGGTTCAGATTCTACAGGGATTTAAAAATAGTTACGCAAAACGGAGCGTGCTGCTCTGACCGGCTTTAAAGGGTTAACAATGACTTTAAAAAATAATATAAAATAGTGTGCAACACCACTGAAGTTTTTTTTTTTTTAAACTCTTTTCAACCAACGGCAGTCACTCTCCAAATAACTTCTGCTTAGCTTTCCGAGCTTCCCTCGGGTCCTCTTAATCAGCGGTCTCCACCCTTTTTTGCGCCACGGACCGGTTTATGCCCGACAATATTTTCACGGACCGGCCTTTAAGGTGTCGCGGATAAATGAGGGAGGGGCTAATAATCGGCTCGGTCATTTTTAATGATCGTTGAAAGCCCAGATCGTAATCGTGATTAAAATTCGATTAATTGAGCAGCCCTAATCAGCAGGTACAATTGTTTCAAGGAAAGCAATAAGTAATGCACTTGACTGTATGCACACTCACCTTGCAATACTCCATTCGCAAAGAAAAGGCATGCTGAAGCATGTATGCAGAACAACATTTAGACAAGCCTGTAAAATACTGGGAGAATATAGTCTGGTCAGATTAGACTACGATTGATATCACTGGAGGCCATAATACACAATGTTCAGAGGTCAAAAGGCAGTGCATATCACCCCAGAAACACCATACCAACAGTGACGTTTGGAGGTGGGAGTATCACAGTGTATGGCCGTTTTCCAGCCTATGGCACTAGCACACTTCGTCTAATTGAAAGAAGGATGAATGGAAAAATGTGATGAGACATTCTTGATAAAAATCTTCTTCCGTCTACCAGGAAATGACATTTCAGGACATTTGAAAGACATTTCAGGAAGCAATGATCACAAACACAGCCATGAAACTCTCAGCTGGTTTCAGAGGAAGAAAACAAAGCTACTAGAATGACCCAGCCAATCTACAGAAACAAATAAAACTCAGAGTTCATAGAATGGGTCCACGAAACCTCCAGGATTTGAGGACTGGCTGTAGGGAAGAACTGGCTAGAATCACACCCGAGCAGTGCATGCGGCTAGTTTCTCCATACATCGTGAAGCTGTGATCACCAACAAAAGGTTTAGTACGAAGTATTAAATACATTTCATTAAACACTTTTTCCTGTGTCGTTTCTCATTATTACATGTCACTTAATTTATAGACATCTATAGCTTGATTTCCTTGCATGTGTGGATTGGATGGGTTGTTACCGACATTAAGTGATCATTTCATGTCAATATCACCTTTAGAAATACATTTACTTAGAAATTTACCGATGTGTTCAATAATTTTACCCACTGTAAATGCTTTACACATCCTGATCCTCTGAGGTAGTGACCAGTGCATGTGTTTGTTTCAGGTGGTTGCAAAGCTGCCACAATCCCTAAATCAAGAGAAGGTTCAATAAAATACATATTTTTAAGCCTCCACGAAATATTTTCTCATAAGAAACGATAATTAACGAATATTCCTTTATCCTTAAAAAAAACATATTAACTGACGTCATGATATGCAGATAACCTTGATATTTAAACCTAAAAATGTGAAAAAATTATAATATGGTTATATTAATTGTAATATTATAAATAAATAATCCAGTAGTGTTGCTTGAATTCCAGAATCCTTTCCATCTTCCTTCACTGAAATTTGAATGATATTAGTTTTTACAAATCAAAAGAGAGACAAAACATAAAAGAACTTTAAGATACATTGATTTTTCTTTTTTTTTTTTACATTTCTATGGACTTGAGAGATACTGATAGCTTTACTCCCATGTGGGTTAGTTGAGGGTAGTCTAATTTTTGGTATTAGCGATCCCTACATTCAGATAAATTGCTTTTAACATAAGTTATGAACCAGGCTAATTTCATTAGCCTTTTGTATAATTTTTTTTCATGTACTAATAGAAGGAAGCAATAAAAATAATGTGCCGAGAGGC